ACCCTCCCCCCCCAACATTCCTTAGTCTTAGTCGCATAAAACGTTTTCATCTTTAAGCCTGGAACTGATGATTACACAACAAACAACTCAGTTTAAACTGTGTGAAAAGGATTCTATAACAACAATGTATCCTGCTTGAGGACAGTTCTTCCTTCCTGAAAACCCTCTGGCTAATCGTGTTATCTTAAAATGTAAATTACAGGAGTGGGTTTGGTAAGATCTTTACAACCTCCAGACATTCTTTTAATTCATTGTAATAACTAATTAAAAGGTATCTAACTCCACTGCTAACACTAGCGAGGGGGCGCTCTTTCTGTCCCTTTCTGATGTCTATGTCAGAAGCTTTCTCCATCTCTTTTATAATTTCATAAAAGTTTATTACACCAAAGCTCTGAGTGATCAAGCCTCGTCTCTGGCCCCGGATTGATTTCTTCTCCTCCAGAGGCCAAGAATCCCAGCCTCTTTCATGGTTCAGCAGCTGTTCAGTTGCGTGGCATCACTGACTCAATGGACATGAGTTTGTGTAAACTCCGGGAGTTGGTGGTGGACAGGGAGGCCTGGTGTGCTGCAATCCAGGGGGTCACAAAGCGTCGGATGTGACTGAGTGCCTAAAATGGACTGGAGATCTGGAACAAGACAAGCGTGCCCTCTTTCACCACTGTTATTCAACATAGCTCTGGAAGTCCTAGCTACAGCAACCAGAGAAGAAAAAGAACAAAAGGAATCTAGATGGTAAAAGAAGAAGTAAAGTTCTCACTGTTTTCAGACGGCATGATGCTGTCCATAGGAAACCCTAAAGATGGTATCAGAAAATTATGACAGCAAACTAGTGAATTTATCAAAGCTGCAGGATACAAAATGAATACACAGAAATCACTTGCATTTCTGTATACTAACAGTGAAAACTCAGAGGAATTAAGGAATCAATCCCGTTCACCATTGCAACAAAAAGAATTAAATATCTAGGAATCAACTAACCTACGGAGACAAAAGAACTGTCCACAGAAAATAATAAGACACTGACAAAGAAGTCAAAGATGACATAAACAGATGTAGAGATATTCCATGTTCCTGGGTGGGAAGAATCAATATTGTGAAAATGACTATACTATCAAATGCAATCTACAGATTCAATGTGGTCCCTATCAAACTCCCAAGGGCATTTTTCACTGAACTAGAACCAAATATTGCCCAATTCATGTGGAAACACAAAAGACCCTGAAGAGCCAAAGCAGTCTTGAAAAAGAAGAATACAGTCGAAGGAATCAACCTTCCTGAGTTCAGATTATACTACAAAGCTACAGTCATGAAGACAGCATGGTACTTGCACAGAAACAGAAATTTAGAACAATGGAAGAAGATAGAAAGCCCAAAAGTAAACCCATGAACCTAGGACTACCATATTTTTGACAAGTGAGGCAAGAATATCCAATGGGGCAATGAGAGTTTCTTCAATAAACGGTGCTGGGAAAACTGGACAGCTAAAATTAGAAACACTTCCTAAGACCATACACAAAAATAAACTCAAAATGGGTTAAAAACCTAAATGTAAGACCAGAAACTATAAAACTCTTAGAGGAAAACATAGGCAGAACACTCAATGGCAAAAATCAAAGCACGATACTCTGTGACACATTTCCTGGAGTGATGGAGATAAAAACGAAAGTAAACATGTCGGACTTGATTAAACTTAAAAGCCTTTGCACAGCAAAGGGAACTATAGGCATGGTGAAAAGGCAACCCTCAGAATAGGAGAAAATAATAGCAAATGCAACAACTGACAAAGCATGAATTTCCAAAATATAAAAGCAGCACACACAACACAATGCCAGAAAAAAACAACCCAATCAAAAAGTTGGAAAAAGACCTAAACAGACATTTCTCCAAAGAAGACATACAGATGGCTAACAAACACACGAAAAGATGCTCAATGTCATTCATTATTAGAGAAATGCAAATCAAAACCACAATGAGATATCACCTCACACCATCAGAATGGCCATCATCAAAAAGTCTACAAACAATAAATTCTGGAGACGGCATGGAGAAAAAGGAATGCTCTTGCACTGTTGGTGGGATGTAAAGTGATACAGCGACTGTGCAGGACAGTGTGCTACTGATGCTGCTAAGTTGCTTCAGCCGCGTCTGACTCTGTGCGACCCCAGAGACAGCAGCCCACCAGGCTCCTCTATCCCTGGGATTCTCCAGGCAAGAATACTGGAGTGGGTTGCCATCTCCTTCTCCAATGCACGCATGCATGCTAAGTCGTTTCAGTCGTGTCTGACTCTGTGTGACACCATGGATAGCACCCCATCAGGCTCCTCGTCCACAGGATTCTCTAGGCAAGAATACTGGAGGGGGTTGCCATTTCCTTCTCCAGCAAGACAGTATAGAGAGTCCATGAAAAAACTGGAATAAAACCACCATATGACCAAACTTCACTCTTAGGATTATACCCTGAGGAAACCAAACTTGAAAAAGATATGTAACCCAGTGTTCATTGTAGCACTATTTACAATAGTTAGATAATGGAAGTAACCTAGATGTCCATCGACAGATGAATGGATAAAGAAGTTGTGGTACATATACACAATGGAATATTACTCAGCCTTAAAAAGGAATGCATCTGAATCACTTCTGATAAGGTGGATGAACCTAGAACCTATTACACAGAGTGAAGTAAGCCAGAAAGCAAAGATAAATATTCTATTCTAATGTATATATAACGGAAAATATGGAATCTAGGAAAATGGTACAAAAGAAGTTATTTACAGGGCAGCACAATTGCACTCATCTCACACGCTTGCAAAGTAATGCTCAAAATTCTCCAAGCCAGGCTTCAAGAGCTCATGAACTAAGAAATTCCAGATGTTCAAGCTGGTTTTAGAAAAGGCAGAGGAACCAGAGATCAAATTGCCAACATCCGCCCCATCATTGAACAAGCAAGAGAGTTCCGGGGAAACATCTGTTTCTGCTTTATTGACCATGCCAAAGCCTTTGACTGTGTGGATCAAAATAAACTCTAGAAAATTCTGAAGGCGATGGGAATACCAGACCATCTGACCTGCCTCTTGAGAAACCTGTATGTAGGTCAGGAAGCAACAGTTAAAACTGGACATGGAATAACAGATGTTCCAAAAAGGAATACGTCAAGGCTGTATATTGTCATCCTGCTTATTTAACTTATATGCAGAGTACATCATGAGAAATGCTGGGCTTGATGAAGCACAAGCTTGAATCAAGATTGCCAGGAGAAATATCAACAACCTCAGATATGCAGATGACACCACCCTTACGGCAGAAAGTGAAGAAGAATTAAAGAGCCTCTTGATGAAAGTGAAAGAGGAGAGTGAAAAAGTTGGCCTAAAGCTCAACATTCAGAAAACAAAGATCATGGCATCCAGTCCCATTACTTCATGGCAAATAGATGGAGAAACAGTGGAAACAGTGGCAGACTTTATTTTTGGGAGTTCCAAAATCACTGCAGATGGTGACTGCAGCCGTGAAATAAAAAGATACTTACTCCTTGGGAGAAAAGTTATGACCAACCTAGACAGCATATTAAAAAGCAGAGGCATTACTTTGTCAACAAAGGTCCATCTAGTCAAGGCTATGGTTTTTCCAGTAGTCGTGTATGTACGTGTGAGTTGGACTATAAAGAATGCTGAATGCCAAAGAATTGATGCTTTTGAACTGTGGTGTTGGAGAAGACTCTTGAGCATCCCTTGGACTGCAAGGAGGTCCAACCAGTCCATCCTAAAGAAGATCACTCCTGGATGTTCATTGGAAGGACTGATGTTGAAGCTGAAACTCCAATACTTTGGGCACCTGATGCGAAGAGCTGACTCATTGGAAAAGACCCTGATGCTGGGGAAATTGAAGGCAGGAAGAGAAGTGGACGACAAAGGATGAGATGGTTGGATAGCTTCAGTGACTCAATGGACATGAGTTTGAATAAACTCCAGAAGTTGCTGATGGACAGGGAGGCCTGGCATGCTGCGATTCATGGGGTGGCAAAGAGTCGGACACGACTGAGCGACTGAACGGAACTGAATGGAGCAACAGGTAGAGAATAGCCTTACGGAAATGGGGGGAGGGGAGGAGGGTGAGACGCATGCAGAGAGTAACGTGGAAAGTTACATCACCATACGCAAAATACATAGCCAAAGGGTTTTTTCTGTATGGCTCAGGAAACTCAAATATGGGCTTTGTATCAACCTATAGGGGTGGATTCCGGAGGGAGATGGGAGGGAGGTTCAAAACGGAGGGGATATATGTATGCCTATGGCTGATTCATGTTGAGATTTGACAGAAAACAATAAAAGTCTGTAAGCAAATATCCTTCAATAAAAAGTAAATAAATTAAAAAATTGATGGTGAGACTCAGAGTTGTATTGACCTCTTTCACAAGAAGAAAAATAAAACAGAAAACACACAATTACTGAGTATTGGATTACATGTGTGTGTTGTTATATGATCCATACAGACAGATCTATCTATCTATCTATATGTATATATATATACACACACAACTAACTTAAAGGCAAAATGAAAACTACGTAAAGATTAATGAAAGCAGTATAAGCCACAATAATGGAACAGTGAGGACACAAAAGAGGTTTCCAGGGAATCGCTGGGCGGGACGAGAAAACCAGATTCCAGCACTAGTTCCCTCCCGCGCCCCCGGGGCACAGGCTCCTGGGCTCAGTCCTGAACGTGGTGGGCCCCGCGCGCCCCCTGGTGGTCCGGGGCGCCCATGCAGGGAGGTTTGTGTCCGGGCTCACTCTGACTTCCCCTCACTGTGTCTCTTGCACAGTAATACACGGCCGTGTCCTCAGGTGTCACGCTGCTCAGTGAGAGAGAGACTTGGCTCTTGGAGGTGTCCCTGGTGATGCTGAGCCGGGATTTCAGGGCTGGGTTATAGCCTGTGCTTCCACCACTACTGATTCCACCAACCCACTCCAGCGCCTTCCCTGGAGCCTGGCGGACCCAGCCTACACCATAGCTGCTTAGTGAGAATCCAGAGACAGCGCAGGTGAGGGAGAGGGTCTGTGAGGGCTTCACCAGGCTGGGTCCCGACTCCTGCAGCTGCACCTGGGACAGGACGCCTGTGGACAGAGAGAAGCACGGTGACTCACGGGCTCAGATGCAGCTTCCCCACGTGCCCATGTCTGATCCAGAGACACTCACCGCTGGGAGCTGACAGCAGGAACAGGAAGGTCCACAGTGGGCTCATCTTCGAGCAGATGAGAGTCACCGCTCCCGGAAATCTCTTCAAGCCTGAGGAGGAGCCTGAATTTAAGTGACCTGGTGCTGTGTTTCCACCCTGTGACCTGAGTGGATCTTTGCATGTGGGAGGGGCCTCTGCATAAAAAGCAGAAGGTAGTGAATGGAGGTCCCTGTCTCTGGGGCTCCCCCTGTGAGGGGGTTGCTGACTGTGCCCTCAGAGAACTCAGACCCGTATGGGGATCCCTCCCAATATTTGGGGTCTTCTGTGTCCAGAAATGAAAGGATGTGGAAGGGCTGGTCAGGAAAAAAGATGTGGCCAAGTATCAATCACAGATTTTGGGAAGAGAGTAATCCCATGAATGTTCATCTCTTCACTTGTCAACTATGCACTGCAGACTCAGGGTCTGCATAACTGCCAGAAACTGTTATTTGTTTTTCTTTTCTGCATTAGCTTATGCTCATAAACAGGATGTTAAAACATTGGAAGTAAAATGCACATAATAATTGCATTTAACTCAGATATACTCAGTACAATTTAAATTTTATCAAACTCCCAAAGGATTTATTATTTCCCTTAAGTGGTGAGGATATTTCTTCACCTGAAACAGTTTAAAATTAAGAGCTGCTCTGGAGGTGGGTTGTTCCTAACAAGTAACGATGCAGTTAAATTTGTGGACAAAGTAGTCATTTCTGCTGAGATGCTCATCTTCCCAGCATGGCTGACTAGCCAGGTGGCCTGTCCTGCATTTTTCTGCACACAACTGAGTGTCTGCAGGAATTTGTGAACCTCAGGACCTGCTTCATGAGGGTGGACATTGAGAACTTTAAGGCTACCAGTTACTAAGGACAGACAGTGCCCGGGAGCTCCTAGTGCTCCAACATGCTGGGCAGGTGCCCTGGTCACTCTGCACAGACTCCACACTCCTCCAAGTGCTTATTTCTTCCTCTCTGTGTCCCGGCCGTGAGATGGGAGCTCAGGAAACATAGTCCCCACCACAGTGGTGAGAGGACACGCATGGTTCGTGGAGGTAAACCTTCACAGTGAACGGCGTGCAGTGTGAGGGCGGCATGGTCAGAGGAAAGCCCCTCCTCAGGAAGCAGGTTCCCTTGAAAACCCCACTGAGAGCAGCTTTCCCGAGCCCAGGGCTCCATGTCCTGGACTGAGCCTGAGGTCCTCTGAGTCAGCAGTGCTGGAGAGCAGAGCACAGCTCCCCCGTCTCCCTGTGGCCCTGAGGCTGTGGCCTCGCGCCTGCATCCCGGCTGTGAGCATGGAGACTGGCGATGACGGCCGTCACCGCGTGTCTGGACTTTAGGTGGGCTTTCCGGGGGTGGTGAGTGCTGCCACCAGTGGTGTTATCTCTCCTGGAGCCAGGAAAGACCGGTGTGGGTCCCCATCGCTGACTGACGCCCTGTCCGTGTGACCCTCGCCTTCTCCTGCCCTGAGACCTCACCCCTTCGCGTCTGGGGCAGGTCAGCTCTTCCTCGGCACAGGGATCTCACCTGGACACTGACTGAGGTAGAACCTACTGTCTATGAAAAGCCCTTTCTGGTCTGGCTTTGGTCATGACACTTCTGCACCAGCATGTCTTCTGTAACAGATCCTGTTTCCCGACACCTGAATGTGCTCTGGGGAGAGGTCCCAGCTCACTCTGCCTCAGTTTGTGGGACCAAATGTCCCAGATGGTATGCACCATCATCAGGACTGCTGAGGGTGACCCTGGAACTGTGGGCCTCTGGCATCCTGGTCACTGAGCTTCTAGATGTGTCCTCATCCCTCGGCTCAACACCTTCGTCCATCATCAAAGCCCGTGGGGTCTTGTGTGCATCACCTAACAGGCTTTCCTCTCTCCTGCACTTTCTCTGATCTTGTGATCCCATTGGACCACCTGTAAAAGCCAAATATGCTTCTCATCTCAAGGTACTGGAAGACAGCAGATCTCATCCCCAATTCCACTGCCTCAGTCTATTATGGGGTTTAGTTTATGGCATCAGAAGTGGGATCCAGAGAATCCCCAGAAACTCCTAAGCCGTGAGCAGTCAGACGCTGGTACCCACTCTGACCTGCTGAGTTCAGTCCTCTCTGGATGAGTGTGGTCTAGTAGTTTTGTGTGGAGTCTTTAGGGTTTTCTATCTACAGTGTTCTGTAGATAATGTGCAATGTGCCTCTTGTGATAAGGAATCTATTTGCAATGTAGGAGACCTGGGTTCAGTCCCCGAGTGTGAAAGATTCCCTGGAGTAGGAAATGGCAACCCACACCAGTATTCTTGCCTAGAAAGGATAAAGAAGACTGGCAGGTTACAGTCCACGGGGTCACAAAGTGTCAGACATGACTGATCGAGTAACACACACTTATCTCTAAACTCTGTGCCTGCCAAGTATTTCTGAAATGAAAGTTGACAGTGATACCAGCCTTCTTAAAGAATCTGGAAGTAAACAGTCGAACTTACTACCTACAGAAACTAGAAAACAAACACCAAAAGAGCCCAGAGGCAGTGGAAGGAAGGAAATAACAAAAAGTGCAGAAATTAATAATATTGAGACGAACACACACATACACACAGACAAAACAGTGAAAATGATCAGTGAAATCAACAGAGGGCTACTTGTTCTTGTCGTTGTCGTTTTTGCTAAGACAAACAAAACCATAAATCTTTAGCCAGTCTTCAGAGGAGGAAAACGAATTTACTGGAATAAAAATAAAAAATAGAAAAGACAAAGCTAATACCACAGAGATACATAAAATCATATGCTATTATTACAAACAGCTGTATGCCAACAAATTGGAAATCTAGAAGAAATGGACGAATTCCTGACTATAAAACCTGCAGCACTGAATCAAGATGAAGGAGACAACATGAAGAGACTGATCATTTATGTCTAACTTGAATTTTATAATAATAATTTAAAAATCTTCCAAGGAGCAACAGTCTAGGAACAGAAAGCTTCTCTAGGAGTTTTATAAAACATACCTTGGATGAATTTAAAGCAAAACTTCTCAATGACTATTAGCAAATCAAATTCAACAGTGGACAGAGAGGATCCTGCGCCTCAATCGTGTTTTACTCGAGGGTCATGGCACTGGCTCAAGGTCCCAGCAGCAGGAAACAGGCTGGTGAAGGTGCTCAGCTTCAAACGTGCGCCACCTTCCAAAGCAAGGAATGGAAAGGAAGGGCCAGATCAGTAGGCCCAGAGGCTGGAACAGGAGCCAAAGAAGATTGCTTCCAGACCTTGAACTTAGTAGAGTTTGCGTGGATGGACTTAAACACTGGCGGGGTCAGTGGGGCCTCCCTTGTGGCTCAGCAGTGAAGAATCTGCTTGCAGTGAAGGAAATGCAGGAGACTTGGGTTCAGTCCCTGGGTCGGGAAGATCCCCTGGAGGAGGAAATACCAACCCGCTCCAGTATTCTTGGCCTGGAGAGTCCCATGGACAGAGCAGCTTGGCAGCCTACAGTCCATAGGGCCACAAAGAGTCAGACACAATGGCAGGGACTGAGCTCACGTGCACACTGGGACCAGGGGTCCCTTCTGACTTACATGCATCCTTTTTACGGAGTGAAACTCCTTGTAGCTGACATATGCCTGTCTTAGTGCTGTATTTGAGAACACAAATCCTCACGCATAGCTGAGTTAGAGGACTAGATTCGGGACTTCCGGTTGATGTTCTTTAGTCCACCTTTGCGCTGTAATCTTTATTATAATTGACATTATAATTTAGTGTCAATTCTTAGGTTGACATTTTGGAGGCTTTCTGGGATTTGCTAAGTGTAATGGGCCTGTGGAATGGATGTATTTGCAGGGCTGAAGGTGGACTGTGTTTGTCTGAATCATTCGTTGAGTCTATGAATGTCATCTCACATGGCATAAGGGACTTTGGAAAATGTGACTAATTTAGAGGTCTAGAAATTTTGGGTTTTCCTGGATTATCATGTGGCTCCAGTTCAAACCACAACTGTGTTCCTCAGAGGAGGGCCAAGGACGTCAGACCCTGGGAGAAGTGACCACTGATGGAAAGTGCTTTGCTGGGCTGTGCAGATGAAGGAAGTGGCTGAGAGCCAGTGATGCAGGCAGTGAAGCTCTAGACAGGACACGGCAACGAAGCAGACTGTCCCTGACTTTATCCATTCAGGGGGCATGACAGGAGCTCAGGTGGGGTGGTCTGTAAACAAGCCTTTATTTCCCACACTGCTGGAGGCTGCAAGCCCCAGGTCAGGACACCAGTGAGGCTGCCTTCTGGTGAGGGCCCGCTTCCTGGTTCACACCAGGCACCTTCCTTCTGGGTCCCCACCTGGTGGACGGGGACAGGCATGTTCTCTGGGGCTTCTTAGAAAGATTCCAACCCCATTCATGAGGGACTCCACTCTCATGACCTAAGCACCCGCCTAGGACCCCGATTCTAACATCATTATCCTAGGAATTCCAAATATGAATTCTGGGAGCACAGAAGCATTCAGACCCTGAGAGCCCTGGGCCTGTGGTCCTGCCACACCTGGATTCCAATCCAGTGAAACTGTTATCATACTCTGGACTGTGGACTGGAATGGAATACGTGTGGGTTTATTTGAGCCGCGTGTGTGTGGGAACCTGACACAATGGTCAGCAGCGTAATAAAGGCCAGGACGTGAGTCTCACGTTGCCCAGAGTCCCCCACATGGCGCCCTCTTACGAGGTGACCACAATCACTGCCCCTGGGGACGGGGCGCTGCAGGCCGGGGTCCGGGAGGAACGATGTGCTGCCACAGACTGAGCGGGACCTATGCACGTGTCGACCCTGAGTCTGTAGCCCTGCTCGTGGTGTCTGACCGGGTGCCACGTGTGGGCTGCTTGGCAGAGCCTGGGAAATAGAAATTCATCCTTGGGGTGATGAA